TACAAACTCAAACAGTCGCCATCATCATTTCTGGAAGGGATTCAATTTATCTTCATATTTCCTGTTTTCATGGGATACTTCCTGTCGCATCCCCTCTCATACAGACTTGCAGGTTTGTGCATCTGCTGTGGATGACTTGAGATTTGGGCGCGGTTGTGACTGAACAGCTGTTTCCTCCCCAAAATTCCTTCTATTGTGCTGCTGAACTGTTAAAGTGTGTGCTTGTGCTCGTTTGTAGTTGTGTTGTGTGCCGGTACCATTCATGGAGTGACGATAATTATGAACATCGCAACCAGATTCTGGTACAGACAAACCTTGTTCTTGCGCCAAGCCGCATTTCCGGCTACATCATCCCTCTACTTTTTCTGATCCTAACCAACCTCCTTCCTCATGTTCAGGAGGTTGGATGTCTTGATGCCAATAGCAGAGCCCAACTCCATTTCGAGGGTAATGGTGCCTAATGAGGCGACACGACAGGATCCGACGTCTGATCTTCTCTGGTCTATGTTGTGTTAACGTACCCCCATTTGACACATACAAACCGAATTGGGATCCTGTTGTGGGGAGGACTGATGAGACCAAAACTTTCGAGTGGCAAGACGGTCTGAAATTCAACGGTAGCATGAGGCAAATTGATTGTTGGCAACGGTATCATCATATTTTTCGTATTTAAGTAGAATTTCGAGACTTTCTCATCAATCGGGGGGTCACTTTTGAACGAGCTGATCTAACTTGTCTCCAATATAAGTAGTATATGTGAAAAAATTTGATTTTCCAGAAATCTCTTGGTTCATAAATGTTGAGATCCTTTTTATTTTAAATGAAAGTGTACATGGAGAGATTTAATTTGGTTGATCCAGCCGAAATACCGCAGCTGATCCCGGATTTCAAGGCTATCAATAGTCCTTGTACAAGATCTTAGTCAGCCGAGCACTGATAGTTGATGTTTTTCAACAATACGATGATTAAACCTCACTAGCACATTCTTTTACGAAGCTGCTTCTGAGTCTATTGCGAAAAATTATGAGCCAAAATGTCCTTTAAAACTCAGTTTCTATTCACATGCTTTGCTTATTTCAATAGACTTTATAGTCCTCTGTCTGGCTTCGAAATCTTCCCAGCCTGCTCAACTTCTAGCTTGTGTCTTACTTTCGACATTTTCCGATTTTTGGATCCGTAAACCTTTTTGAGCAGCCGGTCCTCTCCAAAACCAAATCTAGACGGAGGGCTCAAGGATCCAAAAATATATTTTTATATCTTTATACATTGTTATAATGTCTTTCGTTCATAATTAGGGTTTTGGGAGTCATAGTAAATTATTATATGAGATGTATTCACGCTATTTCGTTTAAATATTCCATAAAATTTTACATAAACTTGCTTTCCCAAATGGTGTTTACTCCGGATCGGAAAACCTTTTGGGAAAGTAAGGCTCTGTGAAATTCAATGAAAATGTCGACTCTAATCATATCCTTATAGGAAAATTCAACTACCACTCCTTTATCACCCTAAACGAAATAGGGTGAATACATCTCAAATTGTCATAATATTCCAAGGCAATCCCGAGACCTACTTATAAAAAGGAAAAGTAATATCTCACTTCCTCGATTACCAGTTTCTCCTTAGCAAACCTTTAGGGAAAGTGCTGCAGTCGCCCCAATGCAATTTGGCTTGGGCGGTTTAACACTTTTTAAAGGATTTCAGTGCTCTTCTTCTCTCCATCCCTGCTCCGATCGGCCAAATTACGAATCATTTTTAGCAAAATTTTGGCGGAATCGGTGTTGATTTTGATGTTTTTGATTGACATTGTCAAAGCGTTCTATTGTTCAGATTTCAGGATATTTTAATTTCTACTAATTGTTATGAGAAGAATTGAAATTCGAAGATGAAACCTGAAGTTTCTGATACAGTTTTTTTTAATGCTTATTGAAAATCTGAATGGGCGTCAAACTCGACCTCCATCTGGCTTTATGGGCAACCCCGGCTGCGGCCTCGTCTAGAGCATGCCCAGAAGGGCATGATACCAAATTCTTTGGATTACAGGTTTTATATGTTGAACGGTAAACTTGGCATTGGTGTTGTTAGGCAAATTTGTTTTGATTTCGTCACCTTAACGACTTCATTCGCCTTATACATACATCCCAATTCGAACTGGGTATGCAGGTCTTGTTAAGAAATTCGGGTCGGATCTGGCAGCCCAAAAACCGGTTCTTTCTGGCGATGCGTATCCACCGATTTCCGAATAGAGTCGAAAAGTCATCCTCTAATGGACCGTACGGGGTTGTGTTTGACACAACCAACCATTTGTGTTATTATATCTTTTGCAAACAAACTATGGTCCCGAGAAAACTCAATCTACTAAAAAGGGATTTTTACTCTTAAACCACCTCTTAAACCACTAATTTTTCTCTCAAACCAGACCATTTACAACCAAAATCACTTAGATTCGCATCAAGATTACTAACTAAATCATTCGATATGTATTTTTTCCATTACTTTTTCTATTTAAGACAATATTTGGCGTGTTTAGAAGGGCCATTTTGTCTGCTTAAATTGGTACTGGCACGACTTTAATTTCATTTAAGAAGGCGGGTGGAAGAGATTGGTAGATTGGCCGAACCGGATACCAAGAGAGGGTTATTTTTTGATTTTGTCTGTTGAATTGTGATTGGTTTGGTGCTTTTTGGCGACCGTTCGGGAGTAATGGTTTTTAGCTTTGATGAAAGCTCACCTCGTGGTCATCGGGTTGGTAGGAGGGTAGGCCGAGGTCTTCTTCGCACAATTCAACAGATACAAGTCCAAGGCAACCCTTCTTCGGTGTCCGGTGAGACCAATCTACGAATCCCTTCAACCCGCCTTCTCAAAGCGAATCATGGGTATGCCAGAATTAGTCTACTAAGGCAGACTTCGAAACTAAACTCCCTTTAACCTTAAATTGGTGACTATTTAATCATTTGTAATAATAAAAGCTAGTTCTGGTGATGCTTCTCTCTCCCTCTTTTCATAAATCATTGTTACGCAAAGTCAAAGTGTCTACAATCACATCAGGCTTTTAGAAACTCAGTTAATTATCGAAATAATGCCAACTTCGAAGTATATCAAAATCATATCAAAATAAAGGATTTTAACTTTGACAATTGAACTGTCTAAAGTATGCTTTGGTTCATTTTCTCTCTCCTTTTTCTTCCACTCTCTCACTCTCTCTCTCTCTCTTTTCAGTCTCCACCTGGGCATGTATTGCTCGTTAGATCTTGGCGAAAGGTGAACTTCGGCCTGCAAGAGCTGCCGTCGCTCCCGGTCGACAAGGCATGCAAGCCCTGTCCCCGCAACCGCCTAACCGCCGGGCCAGACAGACATGCGCCTTCACAACGCCTCTGCCGACGACGCATCGCCGTGTTGCCATGGCTACGCAGGCATACGTGCGAGAAGGAAGATCGGAAGATGCTTCAACGGAGCCGCGGTACTTGAGTCATGTAGAGCTCAGTCTGAAGGGGCCGCGGAGGTGATTGTGTGTCGACGAGTGGACGAGCCCAGCAACCGACTGTGTAAAGATGCCAGTCTCGCCGATCCTCGAGATGCGGTCGCCCTCGAGACGAAGCTTAGTCGCCACGATTTCACACCCGCGTCAAGTGGCAGACGTCTTCATCTACCGGCGTCCTCCGCGTCGACGACGAGCCGGCATCTGAACCCATCTACAAGACTTCTACTCGTGTTGCTGGTCCTTCTTCTTCTGTTTCATGGTAAGTCGATGCTTTTAAAAGAGTTCGTATGATGCCAGTTTCGAAGGTGAGTCAGGCCCATACCAAATCACATGGTATTTCGTTTTGGTGACGATAAGGCAAACTCGATAGTATTACTTCGAACCAAGTAAGTAGTACCTTTCAGAATGTCTAAAGAGACGAATGGAAGGAATTCATAAGTTGGCCTCACTGGAAGCAGTAGGGAGATTGTCTTGGAGTTGGGAAACGAAGATTTGTGCTGACATCTCGGGTTCGCATGGCGATGCGTTGACGACTTTTTGGCACAAATCTACACTTAAACCTCCAAGACACTTCTCCTACAGTTTCCGGTGAGACCAATTTGCGAATCTCTTCCATTCGCCTCCTCAAACATAATAAAAGGTAATATGAGATGTATTCACTCTATTTCGTCTAAGGTGATGGAGGACTGATAGTAGAATTCACCCACAATGACGTCTGATCATATTAAACGAAATATGGTGAATACATCTCATACTACTGATTAACTGGTAATCTCGAAACTCTACTCAAATACCAAAAAATAAGTAACGTAGTCTATTGTTATAGCAAATACACGTTTGCATCATTGAAAATCCCACCAAAGAATATGATATGACAAAAAGCTTGGCCTTTCTTGAAATTCACATCTGCCCTGTGACCCAAGGGCACTCGTGGCAATGTGGCCGAGTCGT